GTACACACTGCTCCGTAATGTGACATTATGTACACACTGCTCCGTAACGTGACATTAGTCAGTTTTTATGAAAGTATTTTTAAGAATCTTGACCTCTGTTGAACCCTGCAGAACAGATGAAGTCCCTGAAGGGATTGTGAAACTTTTTCCCTCCACCTGGTAGTAACACGTGTTTGCTGACTGTGCATTACTTTTGTTTTGTCTGTGCAGTATAAAGATGATCATGGAGGCTGAAGCTGAAGCTGAGGCCATCAGGGTGAGTTACAAGCCAACAAGAGGAACAGCGTGCAGGATATTTGTGACGTACAGCAGAAAAATTGGAGATTTGTAACAGAAATATGTGAAACACTCCTTCAGATTAAAGGTGAGGCAGAGGCCTTTGCTGTCGAGGCCAAAGGTCGCGCTGAAGCGGAGCAGATGTCGAAGAAGGCCGAGGCCTTCCAGGAGTACAAGGATGGAGCCATGGTGGACATGCTGCTGGAAAAACTGCCTCTGGTGAGAAGAAGCATCTTCTACCAAAAGATTTTACCACCTGGTGTCGTCTTGTGAGCTAAAGATGTATGAGAAGGCCTGTTCTCTGCCTCTGACTTACTTCCTGTAATAAATAAATGCATTTAGTTTCTAGTTTTAATGTTTTGCGATGCTTGTCTCACATCAGATGGCAGAGGAGATCAGCAAGCCTCTGTGCAAAGCCAAAAAAGTCACCATGGTGTCGAGTGGAGGAGGAGCTGTGGGAGCAGCCAAACTGTCAGGGGAGGTTCTGGACATCATGACCCGCCTCCCCGACGCCGTGGAGAAGCTGACCGGAGTCAACATCTCTCAGGTAAGTCCCTCAGTGAAGGCGTTCACTCCGTGGGCTGTGTGGAGTCAGCCTTCACACTAGAGCCTTCTTGTTTCTCTTTATTCTTTCTGTTCTTCCAGACCTCTTTTGTCATGCGATTATTTCTGCACACTCTGTGCTGTTTTAACCACTCAAGTGTCAGAAATGTTCAGCTCATTCAGTCCAGCAACGACTTCTGTTTTTTGTAACGTTTGTATTTTTCAAAGTATTTAACTTTATATAAAGTTTGCCCGTAGAAAGACATCAAGAGCTCTAATTATTTTAAAGACACTGTTCTTGGTCTATTTTTGTCTTCTTATGCCACTTTTAGATGTTTTGCTACTTTTAATTGGCATTTTATTACTTTCCGTGTTTAGTGTTCTTCTCTGTGAGCTTTAACAACTCAGTTTCAGCTTCTTCAACAGATTTCAGCAACATGAATCTGTCCTCAGAGCTGTTTTTTCACAGAAATTGCATTTTCTCCAGTTTTTCACTGTAATTTCTTTCTTCCTCTCCATCCTCCAGGTGTCTTCTCGTACCGGCTGAAGAGAAGGAGCCAAACAGGAACCACGTAGGCAGATTTGATGTCCCTCTCAGCTGCCTGGATTCCCTACATACAGACCCTTTCCAAAAAATTAGAATATCATGGAAGAGTTGTTTAACTTCCATAATTCCATTCAAAAAAGTTAATCTTTAATAGTTGATAGATTCAGGGCCCACAGTTTAAACGATTTCCAGTATTTATTTGTTTATTTTTACATAATTTGGGCTTCCAGCCCATGAAACCCATGAAAACAGGATTTCAACAAATTAGAATACTGTGGAGAAATCAATCCAAATGTTGCAGGACATGAATGTTTTAAACACAGTGTGACACTAATCATCTACTAAACTCAAAGCACCTGCACAGGGTTCCCCAGGTGTCATTAAATTGCTTCAGTTTGGTTCAGTTGTCTCAGTTCGGGGGAAGACTGCAGACATAACTGGCCAGAAGACCATCATTGATGCCCTCCATGGGATGGGTAAGACACAAGTTCATAGCTAAGGAGGCTGGCTGTTCACAGAGTGCTGTGTCCAAGCACATCAATGGAAAGTCTAGTGGAAGGACAAAATGTGGCAGGAGAAGATGCACCAGCAAAAGGGATGACCATGGGCTTCAGCAGATTATATAACAGAGAAGATTCCAGAATCTGTCAGAGATCCAGAAAGAGTGGAATGAGGCGGGAGTCACAGTTTCAAAAACCACCACATTCAGACGCATCCAGGAGATGGACTACAACTGTCGGGTTCCTCTGTCCTCTTTTCTGATGAAAGTAAAGTTTCATTCAGAAATCAAGGTCCAAGGGTTTGGAGGAAGAAGGGTGAGGAACAGAACCCATACTGCTTGAGGTCCAGTGTGAAACATCCACAGTCAGTCATGATCTGGGGTGCAATGTCCTGTGCAGGTGTTGGTAAACTCTGCTTTCTTAAGTCCAAGGTCACCGCAACAGTCTACCAGAATGTTTTAGAGGACTTCATGATTCCTTCTGCTGAGGATCTGTATGGAGATGCAGAGTTCATCTTCCAGCAGGACCTGGCTCCTGCACATGCTGCCAGAAACACCAAAACCTGGTTTGATGCCACAGAGCTTGACTGGCCAGACAACTCGCCGGACCTAAACCCCGTTGAGAATCTTTGGGGTCTTCTCAAGAGGAACATGAGGAGCACCAGACCCAACAACAAAGAAGAGCTGACAGCATCAAGGAAACCTGGGCTTCCATAACTCCCAGTCAAGACCATATTTTGATTGATTTTTGTTCTGATCCTAATTTCTCTTTTATTTTTCTGCAAAAACTGAGTCGTGTGGGCTGATTTCTTCACAGTATTCTAATTTTTTTAATCCTGTTTTTCTTGGGTTTCATGAGCTGGAAGCCCAAATGATGTAAAAATAAACAAATAAATGTTTAAACTGTGGGCCCTGAATCTATCATCTATTAAAGATTAACTTTTTTGAATGGAATTATGGAAGTTAAACAACTTTTCCATGATATTCTAATTTTTTGGACGTACGTCTCTTATCGCAGCCTCCTCTTCCTCCTCGTGTTCTCTGTGTAGCTGTTTACCTTCAGCTGGTTTGTGTTGTTGCTGTGAAAAATTTCTCCTTTCATTTGTTTTTTTGTTGGTTCCTGAGACTCGGTTTAATCAGATTTTAAACAGTTGGCTCTTGGTGTTGGAATGTGAGCCTTCATCAAATGTGTGACATGTTCACTGTTTACATTAATGTGTAAAAGTTTTAAGCCGCCTCCCATTTATTTATTTTTTCCTCCATATTTATAACACACAGCAGATCTTGTCTCTGTTACTCCTCAGTCTGTTTGACTTTAATGTCTCCTCCATCACTGCCCGGGTCCATTGCCTTGCTACCAAACCTTAAGTGCGTCTTAGCATCAACATTTGATACAAACCGTCTGTTCCCTAAAGCTCCAAACATTTTTCATAATGCATTTTCTGAATGTTGTCCACTCCTAAATATTTCACAGTGCATGGATGGTTGAAAATGACGGGTAATAAAAGTCAAGGTACAGTCTGGAACTGCAGTACAGAATTGGTATGTATGAAAGTTGGTAACGGTTTCAGTTTTATGTGCTTGATTAGTTTTAAATGTGGGAATGGAATAAACTAATGTGATGAAAACCTGCTGCAGGTCCTCACTAGTCTAAAAAGAAACCTTATAAGATAACCACATCTTCTATGATGGACACATTGACAGGAGGGATATTTTCACATGTTTTATTGATTTTAGAGCTTGAAACCGTTCAAAAATAATCTTATTGAGGTGGTAGTGCAGGATATTTACAGTGCATCTAAAAAGTTAAGCATGCATTGTGAAGATAGATTAAATGAAACGTGATTTTTATTATGAAGGTTTGTGGTTGAGCCAAACTGAAAAGGATAACTTGGTTTACAAAGTGATTAGTTTTTAATCTGAAGCTGTGATTATCACATTGGGTGATTTTTATGGACAATTCTTAGCTTTTAGTCAAGTCTCAGGTCGGGGTCAAAAGCCATCTTTACTTTATGGAAACTAAAAATGTCTGATTTAGGCCCAAAACAGGAGCAACATCTGGTCCTTGCTCCCTGGAGTCTTTTCCACCACCGAGTAAGAATTATAAGAAAAAAATTGTTCCGTTGTCTTTTAATTATCTGAGGTAAAAACAGACCTTTTAATTATTTTTGTACCAATTAGAACACGACAAAGTAAATTTCAAACAAACTTTTAGTACTGAACAAATTGGCAAAACGTGCAAAAGTCATTAGGATTATAATCTGTTCATTGATGTCGGATTGAGATTTGGGCTCTTTGAAAGCAAAGATCAGGATTGATGGTTTACAAAGTGTTTTGTAATTCATTACATTCTGCATGTATTTATTTTCTCAATTTTTACATAAATCCTTAAATATTAGATTATCTTGTTAGTGCAGCTAAACCCCAGAACAGCTGATGTTAAAGAAGGAGCTCTGAAATGTTACTGTGGTTAAAAATGTCCCAACATGCCTTAAATCATAAACCTGTCACTCTGTCATCCTCTACCTCACATCCTGGACTGGTTAAATGAGTCACTGCATCGTTTAGTGTCAGCGTGTGCTGTAATACATTAATAGATACTTCACTGTTGAAGAATCTCACAATGAAACATCTTTATTTTGATTATATTCACTGTTTTTGGGTATCTGTTTTTTTTTTATTAATCTGTATGACTATCCTTTTGTGAATACTCTGCACTGCTGGTTACAGTACAGCCAAATGTACTGAAACAGCTTTAAAAAGTACTCTATTTATCTGAAGTTAAACACACTGGTTGTATATGCATGCGTCTGTACCTATCACACTTGAATTTTGATGTAATCTTGCAAAAGTGTAGGTTTTAGTCAGTACACAGTAGGCAAGTGTCTCTGTGGAGCTACCAAAGTAGAGTGCACATCATGTTTTAAATTTAACAAATAGTGGCATTTATGTGGTTTATGCAATATATATATTTGATACAGTGTTGGTGTAGCATTGTCTGTTTCAGAAGGAATCATTGATAACTTTATGATAGGCTCCTGTGTGTCACCATAAATGTATTAAATTTCGAGTGACTCCATTAAAGTTCTGGTAGAATGAAACCGAACAAGTTGTTGAATTTTAATTCCTGTAACTGTATTTATGGAAATTTGTGTTTTAAGACGAGTCTTCTCATCGATATGCTTATTAAATTTCAACGGAATACCACTTTTTTGTGTTTCCTGTTTTTTTTTAAAAGTAGCTACCAAATTTAAATATTACAGTTGTGTAATTTGATTATTTTATTTCACTCGTCTGTTATGGAGAAAACCAGGTATGCTGATTTATGGGTATTTTGTTTACATCAGTAAATGCTTTCTTGTGTTAGACTTTATTAGAGGAATGTTATTCTGGAACAAGGACTAGACTTAAAACATGCAAAATGTAAAGATCTTTGAAAGTGTTGCAGAAAACCTAAACTACTGGGACTTATTTAAAGGATTATAAAAAAGTCTTACTGCTTGGATGGAAACTTAAAAGAAAGGGTGGTTGCACTTGTTAATTAAGACTTTCACAGTTCTCTGTATATTTAGCAAGTATTCATTCAAGACCTGCTCACTGATGGGAACATTTATTTAAACCGGAAATGTTGAGTTGTTTAGTCAAACTAACCAGAAATAACAGTTTAATACCAGAAGAGGGTGCATTTTGTTTTGGAAAATTAGACTTGAACCACACAAGACTCCAGCGAACAAAAGTAAAAAAAAAACTAAATGTAGACTATATCCACATTACTTTTTATGAATGTTCTGCGTTTAAAAACAATAAAATCTCAAACTACGGTGCAGCTGTTTTAGTGGCTACGCAATTTTTGTGGTTTTATTTTGAAAGATAAAACCGGAAATTCCGCTACTGAAATCTGTCCGACTTGACCCCTGTAAAAAGAACTGGAGGGAAAAAAAGAGAAAAAACGAAGAAAAAAACGGCATATCTGAGACCTTTGAGGGACGGATTTGGACAAAGTTTCTCAACTGTCCCGTTCCGAGGAAGCTTCGGGGGGGTTGAAAGGGAGTCCAGTTCACCGGTAATTAACTTAGGAGTTATAATTCGGTTGTAAATTAATTGTTTTTTTCAGTGTGTCTGGGAGCACCGTCGTCTCGGTCGCCGGAAGTCTGCATGAAGCTGCGTCTCCAACAGAGGCAACGGCGTTCGACGTTTTTTTCTATCTTGTTTTTTTTTTTTTTTTTTTATTCGAGACTTTTTTTTCTCTTTTTTTATTTTCTCTCGGCGAGATGAGCAGGGAGTGAGGAATGGAGGCGCAGGGAGCGAGGATGTTTGTGTTTGCTAAGCGGAAAAGCTGGTTAAGCAATATGAACATACAGGCCTTGTAGCTTGAGTGAACAAGCCAGCGAACAAAAGGAGAAAATTAATGGAGGCAAGTTAGCGTTAGCCATGTTTGTGTGTCACCCAGATAACACCCTCAGCTCATGACAGGCTGCAGAATAACACAACAGACAGTGCCGAGAGCGTTCCAAGATGTCTCCTAGCTGTGAACGATCGCTTCTGGTTTTATTTTTGCAACATTTCATTAGGCACGGCTAACATTAGCCCGCAGTTAGCGGAGCCACAGTTTGGAGCCAGCTTGTGTCCCCTCGTCAAAATTAAAAAAATGGCTCTCAGAGCATTGAAACATTGACTTAATGCACAGTTAACGTCCCCTCTAGTTTTGTCGATAGTGAGTTGCGGGAAAGCTGCAGCATATGGGGAATTATTTAGCCTTTTCTCATGTTATATGAACTGTGCTGCAGAGGATAAAAAGGCTCATGAAACACAAACATACCCTGAGATTTGTTGCATGAAATAATGTTGCCTCAAATGTGTCAGGCGTGTAATATTTTACATGTGCGTTCTTTGAAAATGTTTTTATTAATCAAACCATTACATCAGCTTCACTAACATGTAATTACACGCATGCATTTTTGGCGGGTATGGTGGCAAAACCACTGCATGGCAACCAAAATGTCTCGTGCATTCAGAAAGCCAACCTTAAACTACATTTTCTGCTGTAAATATGTGCAAAATCAATTAAAAATTCATGCCAATATTAAAAAAAATCAGCTTTGTGCTCAGGAAGAAAAATACAGAATGACATAATCTGCCTTTTCTGCTTAAATGCAATGTGAATACTAATTGCTAAATGACTTCTGAAATTAGTTGTTAAATCTAAAAGATTTAGACTATCTAAAAATTAAGTGTAGCAAAATGCTAGCTGCAATCTAAAAGAGGCTTAGTGGTAAGAACTAAAAGTTGATATTCACTAGCAAAAAACAGCAAAAGGTTAGCTGAAATTAGAAAAAGACTAGCTAAAAGGTAAGGTAGCAAAACGGTTACTAGTAGGTAAAAATGACAAGACTAGCTAAAAGAAGCTAAAGGCTAGGTAAAAGTTAAACATAAAGTTTGACAGTTGCAGCAAAATGTCATCAGAACACTAAATATATAAAAAACAGTTGTTAAAAAAAACTGCAAAAGACTAGTTAAAGCTAAAAATTACAAAATGATAGATACAAATGGACAAACACTAGTTTAAATCAACAAAAGATTAAGCCAAAAGGAGATAGCTAAAATTCAAAATAGTAAAAAGCTTAGCTAAATGTATCAAAAGGATAGCTAGAATACATTATTAATCCCAAGGGAAATTCATCAAGCTAGATAGTAAATGTTACAAAATGCTAGTTAATGGCAAAAAGTAGCAAAACTAGTTAAAAGTTGCAAACTATTTAAATGTAACAAATAGCTAGCTAAAATTAGCCAAACTCTAGTAGCATTTCAATGACGGTACAAGTTCTCTAAGGACTGCTAAGAGCACATAAGTTTTCACTACTTTGAAGTGTTGAATATTTTTTAAAGTATAAAAGTTCTAAAAGTCATAGCAGTAATTTCCTGCACAAGCTGAACATTCTGAATAGTTAAAATGGCTAAAAACTGCTGGAGTAGTTGAAGTTTGAAAGCTGCACAGAATTACAAATATTTTGTGAATTGTGACTCAGCGCTCACTCTGCTGACTCAGCAGTCACCTTCAGTAAAACCTAACTGTGTTTTTAAAACCATCTGACGTTAGAAATTAAGCAACCACTACAACATTCTGTAATGTGTTCATAGCAACACATTTTGTGTTAAAAGTTTACAAAGGTGCACAGGCTGTGTGTTTATGTGGTCGTTTTTATATTCATCCCCCCAGGGGTGATCAGCTTAATTCCTTCAACACCCTCTCTTTAACTTTGGTCAATTATTTAAATTACTATTAAAATATTCCCATCTACTCGGGTTTTACCACCCAATTCACTTCTAAATGAAATTTCTTGATACAAACAACTTTAATTTTGGAGCTTTTGCAGACTCTAGGCTGAGTCAGTCTGTGGAGGAGAGCATGGGAAGGAAATGAGCTTAATATATTTAAAATGCAGCCATGCGTGGTCTACCTTTATGTAACAAAAATCAAATAAACACGGAGGGGAAGGACAGGTGTTTTCTAAGTGTGTTGCTTTGTAATTACAGAAATAATGGACGATTCCCATTTCAACTCGTCATACTTTTGGTCTCCCGTCCCCACAGTACAAGGACAGGTAGACAACCTTATTGTTGGAATTGTCTTAAAATGCACATGGTGTAATGGTGAAGCCATTATCACTTTGTTTTTGGAAAAACTTCCAAGGATTCACTTGCTGAAGTTAAGCACACTGTGAAGTCTTTTGAGTATTTCTTGGTGCATTCACTCAATCATATGATCACTCCTGTCCCTCTCCTCTTTCATCTGTTTTTTTTTTTTCTTGATTTCTATTTATTTTTTTGCATCTCACCATGCTTTTGTATTTTTTATCTCATTGCTTTCTTCTCTTCCTCTGTGGCCTCACTAATCCAACTCATCCTCTCCACTCCTTTCCTTCCCTCTGCCTGTTTTTTGCCTATTCTCATCTTTTTGCCTCACCCTCCTGTCCTCACATCAACATAATCCACAATTTCATCTTTCCATTATTCCATTTTCCTGACTTCTCATGGTATCTTTGCCCTTCATTTTTTTTCTTAATATGAATTAAACCCATCCTTGACATTTCCCATTTTCATTTTTAAATCTGTGTTCACTTTTAACTCAAATGTAATATCCTGCCATTTATCAACCTGACTGGCTTTTCCACTACTTGCATGTTTCACCTCCTCCCTTTCTTATCATGCTATTCATTTTCTCACCTTGTCCTCCTTATTTGTTGGAAACTTCCTTTATTTGTCACCAACAACCCTCCCTTCATCATTTCTCATCTCCATGAAACATTTCATCTTCCATCTCCCCTTAAATACTTCACCCCTCCCTCTTTCCTTCCTCTTCTCACCCTTGTTTAGATCGAGAACGCCATGTTCCTGAACAAAGCAAAAGATCAGCTGGGTCCAGACAAGACCAATGCGCCCCCCTTCCCTCACTCTTCTGCTTCTTCCACCTCGTCCCCTCACTACCCCACAGCTGTGCTCGCCATCCCGAGCTCAGTGGATCCAGGGGCTGGGGTGAGAGTGGTCCCCAAACAGGAAGGAGGAGGGGCTTCAACAGGAGGAAGTGGTGGAAGTAATAGTAACACACCTTTGAGTGGAGTTGGAGGCCACCTGCACCAGTCCCACACCTCCCAGAACGTCACCGTTGTGCCTGTTCCTTCTACGGGTATCATGACTGCAGGTGAGAAAAATACTTTTTATTTTCTCTTGACTGAATATAAAATCCTCTACTCATTACAGATGTTCTTATTCTGTTATTTTATGTCTTGGTATCAATTAAAGGAGAGTGTTGGACAGAAAAAACACTGAATGTTTGTCTGCAGGTGATCTCAGCAGGTTTTAAAGTCACAGTATTAGCAGCTTCATACAGCAGTTTTTTAATGTGCACCTTTTAATACAAGCCCAATGATTAAAGAGTTAACATGTTGTATTAAAATGTTAAATAAAAACAATACAAATATTGGCAACTCTTTTAAATCCATACTTAGTGCACAATGAAACTTGGTAAACATTCTGAAAAAATAAAGTAACTTGGAATTTTATGGCGGCATCACGTTTCCAGAATGTGAAACAGGACCGTGTTTCCCGTTGTGACGCCTCACCTCTTTTTTAACAACTGCCTGTATTTGTATTGGGACTGAGGAGACCAGGTGTTGAAACTTTTGGAGGGGAATGTTGTCCCATTTTTGTCTGATGTAGGATTTTAGCTGTTCATCAGTTCTGGGTCTTTTTTACTGGATGGAACAGATATTCTGAAACCTGTAGGTACTTTTCTGCAGTGATGAAGTCTTTCAAGATGTGCAAGCTGTCCATGCCAGCAGCACTAATGAACCACCATACCATCAGGGAAGCAGGCTTTTGAACTGATTTAGAGCTGATAATGGGCAGGATGGTTCCTCTCCTCTTTAGTGTGGGGGACTCATGGTTTCCAAAAAGCATTTCAAATTTGCATTTGTCTAACCAGAGGACAGTTTTTCACTTTGCTTCAGTCCATTTGAAATGAGCTTTGGTCCAGAGAAGACGGCAGCGGTTCTGGATTTTCGTACACATGTGACTTCATCTTTGTCTGCTAGGTTTTTAAGCACCTTTGTGGATGAACTGTGTTTACAGACAATCTGTGGAAGTGTTCCTGAGCCCATGAAGTAATGTCCAGATATGTTTACTATGTTCCATTCCAAGATTTAAAAATCACTGCAATCTTTTTTTACATTTAACAAACCATCCAAATCTTTTTTGGAATTGAGGTTGTACGAACTACGGTGGCAATTTTGAATACTGTCAGAGTTGAAAACATTTTTTCTATGACTATGATCTTGGTTGAAGTAAGAACTTTAAATTGTCCTAATCTGGACGTCGGGTTACAGATTCTCTTTTCTTCTCAGCGGGGTTAGTGATCACCACCCCACAAGGCACGCTGGTCCCCACAGCCTCCACGCAGTCCTTTGTAGCTGGACCCCACAATGCTACCACCATGATAGTGTCTGCAGTGCACCCCTCAAACACAGGTAACACAGCCGCAGATCACCATCAGCTGCGTCATGCCGGCGTGCTCATGAAAACCCACGTGTGGATGGATGGTGTTGTGTCTTCAGGGCATCGTTTTATCTTTAATGTTTGAGCAGCTAAATGTTCACTTTTCAGTATTATCTTATGCTATAGTCCAAATAGTAAAACTCATTGTAAAAATACCTATTAATAATTATTAGTACTTAAATTGTTTTTTTAGTGCATTTTGTGTTTTGCTTCTAATAAAGACATATCAGCAGATGTTGATTACTCCAAAAGCTTGAATAGTTCGGCTTGTGTTTTCACTCATCAGTCCCAGACTCATTCACCGTTCCCTTCTTCCAGATAAGAAGGAGGACATTGCTGTTCCTCCTGCCGTTGTCATGCCGACTCCATCAAAGCGAGGCAGGAAGAGCAAACAGATGATGAGCAGAGTGAGTGGCGTCCTTCCTCCAGGAAGTGATGCTTTAATTTTGGCACATCTTGCAGCTGGTGGACAGGTAAAGTTCTTCTTGGGTGTTATTGTATTGTTTAATGATTTATCAATACCTGTATCCTTAATAATATTTTGTTTCTATGTTACAGCACCACAGTTCAGACCCATACGATTTGTCAAATGATGAGGATGATCACACTGGCAAAGATGGCCCCAAATCCTACAGGTAGCAGAAGAATATTTCGATTAGATAGATCAAAATTGTTCATCTGCCAGTTCATTCTGTACTTTCTGAACCTTTCTTTCAGACTGCTGTGTTTACTGTAAAACCTCTCTTGCTTTTCTCCCTGTCCTGCTGCCAAGGTGTCGGATGTGTGCAGTGACGTTCTTCAGCAAGTCAGACATGCAGATCCACGCCAAGTCCCACACCGAGGCCAAGCCCCACAAGTGCCCCCACTGCTCCAAGTCATTTGCCAACTCCAGCTACTTATCCCAACACATCCGCATCCACAGCGGGGCCAAGCCCTACACCTGCACCTACTGCCAGAAAACTTTCAGGCAGCTCAGTCACCTACAGCAGCACACACGGTACTGGGCTAACTGGTTTGTGAGCTCCTGAGTGTGTGTGTGTGTGCGTCTGGTTGTGCTTGTAGTGTTTGCTGTAAGTGCACGAGCTTCTGTGTGGTGAGAAACACGTGCAGGAACGAGATGGTGAACTGGGGAAATGTTGAGAAAGTATTGACAAAGTTAAGCTTTTTTTTTCTCTGTTGAAGTATCACTTTAAGGTCACATTAAGTTTAATATAAGACTATGTGGGTAGTGTGAAGTTTGTTATGGAAGGTAATGTTATTTTAGCTGTTATCATCAAAATATAGTAATTTATCAGCTGAAAACTGATACTCAGGACTTCCTGATCCCATCCAAGGAATTAGCAAATACTAACTCAGTCTGATACTTCTAGTTTCTTACACCAAACTTTTGCAAAACGTTTGCTGTAAAAGCACAGAAGTTATTGAACCCACTGTCAGTTTTTGTCACTGTGTGGGTCTGCACTGGGAGGAGTCTGTGCTCAGCTAGCTGAAGTGTGTGTGATGCAGTCCATATTTAGACACTCAAACCATTCATTGCTGCATTCATGTTTTCTGACATTATCACACTTTGCACACTTGGTTTCTGTTTGGTTTGTTGTTTCTACTTTTAAGCATCTTATAATTGCCTTGCATGCTCTGCTGCATTAGATCAACAGAATTGACTTGCATGCAGAAGAACAAGCTTCTGATCAAATGATAAACGGTGGAGCTAAGCTCAGCAATGATATCAGGCAGTAGAAAGTCAAATATTTTTAATAAGTTAGTAGGGTAGTACATTTTTTTGATGTTGTTGACATGTTTTTTGAGTGGCTCCAGTTGAACATTTTGTGACCAAAGCTTTTTTGCATTCAAACAAATTTATACTGGAACCTCTGTTCCTATAGCATCACAAAATGCTCAAACTTCAGACATTAGAGGCAGCTGTTTTCAAAATGTTTCAACAGATTAAACATGTTGCTGTCCTCCCACAATTCTGTATGGCAGCTTTTTTACAGTGACATAAAACAATAAAAATCAGGACTGAAACTGTACTCATTGACCTTAGTTCTGCTAAATCCAAAACTACCTTGACTGGGACTCTTTGTCACCTTAAGATCTCTTTCCTAACATCTTTAGGTATCCCCCTATTATCATTTATCCAGAAACTGTATTGTCAGTGGAATTGCTTAGACTTGAAATACAAGTGTTTTAAGTCAGCCTCTTATAATTAAATAAAAAAGCTGAAAAGCAAATTTTGGTTTCTTTAGCAACAGCAATGACTGAAATGCATTCTTCTGAGCAGGAAAAGTCAGTTTCTCCAGTTCTGTTTATCAGTGGTGAAAGGAGAAAGATAGTTTTGACTTGGGCAGGTGAGGGAAAGAGATTGATCAGCAGTTAAGAGCCCATCATACTCCATCCAAAGTGACGAATCGGCTCTCATTGTCATAGTTGTGTGACAAAAATTGCGTCATTTTGTTGGCAGAGCAGCTTCGCCCCTTCTTGACACAAGGCCTGGCCCAAACTTTTTTCTCACAGGCGTATGTGCTATAAGTATTGCGTGATTGGTCAGACGTTTGTGGGGGTGTTTGTCAATGCGCAAATGCACTCGGACATTCAGCTGCAATACTCTTCAAACAATTGGTCAAATGGTCAAAAACTTCTGGATGGAGATCGTACAGAGGAGGAGTCTGTCTGCTGAAAAGTGTGGTGCTTTCTTCATGATAGATTAGTGGCCAAACGGTGCAGGGACGAGTGGAGACTGTGGCGGGAAGAAACCCCTGCGGTAACGAATACTGCAGCGAGAGGGCTTTCCTAGGAACTCTGTCTCATGGACTATGAAAGGTGTGTGCACAAATGAGTGTCCTGCATCCATATGACATGAGTCGACTGTTTGGCTTTGGATGGAGTATGCCGAGCCCATTACCTGTTGACTCTGTCTCCAGTTTGCATTGATTGGGATCACCTGAGTGCCGAAGCAAAGTTCCACTCAAACATGTTGCATTCAGGACCAGAAGAATGAACATGTCTCACTCTTTTTACTGTTAACTCAAATATTAACTTGTGTTTTCTAACAGAACAATTTTACCAGAAGACTTTGAAACTAACAGCAATTAGTTGACTTAAAATGTATTTGTTTTAGGAGTAAACTGTGGAGTAAACCATAACCGTGTCTGAGGTCGTTGAGGTAGTTAAAAAGCTCTGTGGGCTCTGGGGCTGGATGAGATTCATCCTGATTTCCTTAAGGCTCTAGATGTTGTGGGGCTGTCTTGGCTGACACACCTTTGCAACATCACGTGGACATCGCGGGCAGTGCCACTGGATTTGCAGACTGGGGTGGTGGTCCCCTCTTCAAAAAGGGGTACTGGAGGGTGTGCTCCAATTATTGGGGCATAACTCTTTTTAGCGTCCCTGGTAAGGTCTGTTCAGGGATACTGGAGAAGCGAGTCCGATCCTTGGTCAAACCTCAGATCCAGGCGGAACAATGCGGGTTCCCCTGGCTGTGGAACACTGGACCAGCTCCTCACTAGGGTCCTCAAGGGGTCATGGGAGTTTTCCCATCATGTGTTTTGTAGACTTGTAGAAGACTTTCAACCGTGTTCCTCAAGGTACACTGTGGGAGGTGTTCCATGAGTATGGGATTGGGGGCCGTTGCTACGGGCTGTTCGGTCCCTATACAAGTGGGTGCGAGGGTTTGGTTCACATTGCAGATAGTAAGTCGGACCCCTTCAGGGTGGGAGTTGGTCTCTGCCATGGCTGCCCGTTGTCACGGATTCTGTTCATAACTTTATGGACAGAATTTCTCGGTGCAGCCAGGGGGCAGAGGGAGTCCGGTTCGGTGACCTCAGATTCCATCTCTGCTCTTGTCAGATGATGTGGTCCTGTTGGCGTCATCATGCCGTGATCGCCAACTCTCACTGGAGCGGTTCGCAGCCTAGTGTGAAACGACTGGAATGAAAATCAGCACCTCCAAATCTGAGGCCATGGTCCTCAGTCGGAAAAGGGTGGGTCGCTCTCTTTGGGTGAAGGGTGAGGTTCTGCCTCAAATGAAGGAGTTCAAGTATCTCTGGGTTTTGTTCAAGAGCGAATGAAGAATGGAGTGTGAGGTTGACAGACCGATTGGTGCAGCCTCTGCAGTGTTGTGGACTCTGTGCCAGTCCGTTGAGGTGAAGAGGGAACTGAGCTGTAAGACAAAGCTCTTTGTTTTCCGGTCAGTCTACGTTTCTACCCTCACCTATGGTAAGGATCTGGTTCCTGGACGCCTCTGTAGGAAGGTGCTTCGGGCATGTCCATCTGGGAGGAGACCCCGGGGAAGACCCAGGACACGCTGGAGGGACTACGTCTCTTAGTTAGCCTGGGAACGCCTTGGAGTCCTCCCAGAAGAGCTGGACGGGGTGGCTGTGGAAAGAGATGCCTGGGCCTCCCTGCTCAAGCTGCTGCCTCCACGACCCGACTTTGGAACAAGCGAAAGATGATGGATGGATGGTTGGTTGGTTGGTTGGTTGGTTGGATGGATGGATGGATGGATGGATGGATGGATGGACAGTTGGTTGGATGGATGGACGGACGGACGGACGGTTGGATGGATGGATGGATGGTTGGATGGATGGTTGGATGGATGGATGGATGGTTGGATGGATGGATGG